CTCAGCCACTCCTGGGTGTTAGTCTCCCATTTTGTTACTTTATGTTCCCCTGATGAATGCAATCTTTCTGTGTCTATCCCGCTCTTTCTGACTCATTTCGCTTAGCATGATACTTTCCATGTAGTACCACTTGTATGTAAATTTCATGACTTCATCTTTTCTGACAGCTACATAGTACTCCATTGTGTAGATTGTGTACATCTCTTTAAAAGCTGAACCTGGCCTTCTTTTATTTTCCCCAGGTTTTTTTTTGAGGGGGGAGGGGCACACCCAGCAGTGCTCAGGGCTAACTCCTGGCTCTGTACTCGGTGGTCACTCCTGGTGGGCTTGGGGGACCATAAGTGATGCCACAGATTGGGCTCGAACCCGGGTCAGCTATGTGCAAGGCAAGTGCTCTACCTGCTGTGCTCTCACTCTGGCTCTCATTTTTCTTGCCTTTCAATAAGTGAACGATTTCACTATAGGCAATGCAGTCTCCCTCTAATTTATACTTAACGTTTCTATGGTCACAGGGACTTTCAAAAGCTGATTTCTGGGGCCAGCACAGGGGATAAGGTGCTTGCCTTGTGCGTGCCCACGCAGGAATGATCCCTGGCCCAGCACATGGCCCCTGAGTGCCTCTAGGAGTTAGCTCTGAGCACAGTGCCAGGAGTAAATCTGAGCACTGCCAGGTGTTCCTTCCCCTCAAAAAAAAAAACAAGCATTGAGTGGCAATCATGTTTGGTCTATAGTCTACTTTCAGCAATGCCTCTTATGCAAACCACAACACCCAAAAGGAGAGAGAGAACAGAGGGGAATGCCCTGTCACAGAGGCAGGGTGGGATAGGGGGGATGGGGGTGGGAGGGATACTGGGATCCGTGGTGGTGGGAAATGGGCACTGGTAGAGGGATGAGTATTTGATCATTGTATAATCGAAACCCAAGCACAAAAAATTGTAAGTCTACAACTGTACCTCATGGTGTCTCACTAATAAAAAAAAAATCAGGCTGCTTCCTGGGGCTGGAGAGACAGTTTAGAGGGTAATGCATTTGTCTTGCACACGGCTGACCCCCCTCGGTTTAATTCCTGGCATCCCATGTGGTCCCCCAAGCACTGCCAGGAATAATCCCTGAGATTTGCCTGCTGTGGCCAAGAAAAAGAAAAGAAAAGAAAAGTGGCTTCCTACGTGTGTGACCTCCAGTCTTCCGCAGTAAACACGACCAGCGTGTTCTTTATTTTCCTGAGCCTAAGACGACACTGGTGCGCTCCATTATGTAATGTCCATTTCATCCCTTCAGTCATGACTAAGCCTAGGAAATCACATTCTGTTCTCCTGTTGGCAGATAGTTTAGCATCTTCGATAAGACTATCAGCAAGGTCAGGTTCCCGAGACAACAAAGCAAATTAAACAACAGCCTCAGAGCCACAGAGCGTTTCCCCTCATGTAGCTCTGACCACCACCGCATGGAGTTGCCTGGATGGGAAGCTCGGGTCATGCATGTGTCATATGTGTGTCATGCATGACCATCCCTGATGACCATCCCTGTGAGAACCACGGCAACAGTTCTCACAGTCTCACAGTGTGTGTGTGTGTGTGTGTGTGTGTGTGTGTGTGTGTGTGTGTCTTGCCCTGTTCCTCCATGCCTGCTCTTAGCGTGTTTGAACACAGTAGCTGCAAGATTCCCCAATCAGACACTCTTGCCAAGGCACCAGCTATGGTGTCACTGGCAGAAGTCCCCTCTGCATCCCAGCACGCCTGTCTTATCCACAAGGCCATGCCACCTGTTTGGATTATATTTTGCGCCTGCCTTAGTATCTCAGCAAGCTTTGTCGAAATGTGGATTAAAAAGCACTTCCCAGGGGTACAGATGAAACACAACCATCTAATCTTAGGAAAGATGCCCATCATCACCGTGTTAGGGCAGTCAGCGCACCAGAGGTCAGATTAGAGAGATTTGGGCGGGGATTTTGTTTGCTTTTTCGGGCACAGCTGGTGGTGCTGGGACGGTAAAGTCAGTCCTGGGGTACAGGCAGAGAGCATTTTCTCAGAGGGGCTCCTGAGGGCTATCTCTCCAGCCCCAATGTAGACATTTTTCTAGTTAATAATAACTTCCTGGAGAGAAAAACTCATACTTTTAAAAAAATTTTCTCTTGTGAATCATAGATACATTTTCTTAGCTACCAGATTCACGATCACGACGATCACGACCATCCTGTTGTTCATCGATTGCCTCGAGCAGGCCCCAGTAACGTCTCCTTCGTCCTAGCCCTGAGATTTTTTTTTTAAAAGTGCCATATTAAAGGCTCTTTCAGAGTTAGGAGAATGAGACCCTTCGTTGTTACTGGTATTTGGCATATTGGGTACGCCACGGGGAGTTTGCCAGACTCTGCCGTGTGGGTTACATTCGGTAGCCTGCCAGGTTGTCCAAAGCTACCAGATTAGCTCACCTTAAATGATGCTTGAAGTTCTCCAAAGAATTTCAGATCATCTTTTATATATGCATTTCCTTGCCTTCCCTCATTCGGGCTTAAAGTTCTCTTTATCCGAACGGCAGGATTGCTGCTCAATGCATTCTACTCAGATGTCACCTACCCCGCTTAAGGGAGTCTGCAGGAAGCAGTGTCAATTCTAGCTAAGGAAACCTGCTCTCAGGCTGGAGAGATGGTCCGGCAGGTGAGGCAGTAGCCCGGGAGTGAGTCCTTGCACTCGGGGTGTGGTCCAGAAACCAACACGAAATGGGAGAAAACCTAATCTTGCTCTTCTTTTGCTTTTTTGGAAGGGTTCTTGGCAACTTTTATTTACTTTTAGGTCATAGCCTCAGCATGAGGGGATGGAAACGTCTCTCTGATGCTCTGTCTCTCCCACTGACGGCCTGTGAAACCAGAGAGCACGGAGCAGCCTGTCCTGTGATGAGCCTCAGGAAAACTCCCACGGCTGACCTGTCACGATCTATCTCATGTGAGAAAGAAGTAAGATACCCTCCTGCCTTTTCCACATGTGGGCAATTTGGTTTATGGATGTTACGACTCTTGATTTTAAGTCTCTCCAGACCTGCAAGAATTTGACTTATTAACTTTCATATTTTCCTTTTTAGCTTTTAAAAATGCCGCCTTTAGAGCCAGAGACCTAGTCCCATGGGTAAGGTGCCTGCCATCATGCAAACACCAGGCTGACTCGGGATGACGGCAGGACCCCACATGGTTCCTGAGCACAAACCCCAGTGGCCCCCAAAACAAGCAAAATAAAACAAAGTAAAATATGACCTTTTACCTGGAACTTCAAGCTGGAGTGATAGCACAGTGGTAGGGCGTTTGTCTTGCACGCGGCCGGCCTGGCCGAGCCGGGTTCGATTCCTCCGCCCTTCTTGGAGAGCCAGGCAAGCTACTGAGAGGATCGCGCCCGTACAGCAAAGCCTGGCAAGCTCCCCGTGACGTATTCGATTTGCCAAAACACAGTAACAACAAAGTCTCCAATGGAGATGTTACTGGGCCCGCTCGAGCAAATCGATGAACAATGGGAAGACAGTGACAGTGACCTGGAACTTCATATCTGAGACTTAGATTCTGAGGCTGCATTTTCTTGAACATGATACAGAAGAGACAATTTGTCTCTTTTTGCAAATAGTATCTCAGATTTGCAACTGAATGGGTAGGTTAGGCCTACAGAACACAGCCCATAGCAAACATCCTGATTTAACACCAGGCGTCCTCCAGAGCACTGGACTTAGAGTTGTGATTCTGAGATGAGTTCATAGCAAGCAGCAAGAAAATAATAAAGTTTTTTTTTTGTTTGTTTGTTTTTTTTTTTGGTTTGGGGACCAGTGATGCTCAGCGGTTACTTCTGCACTCAGGAATTATCCCTGGTGTTGCTCAGGGGACCATACAAGATGTCAAATCTGGGTAGGCCACATGCAAAGCATACGCCCTACGCACTGTACTATCGCTCCAAACCAATTATTTTCTAAATTTGCAGGATATATATCAGAGTCTCCTGCCCCTGCGCCTGGCTGTCCTCACCGGGGCCCCTTGGAGGGGGGAAGGTTGAGTTTCTCTCTTTGACCCCCTTCCCGGCCCGAGCAGAGCCCCAGCAGCTGAGGACCTCCGGAGCCAACCACAGCCATGCTGGAACCACTCTCCACATGTCCGGACGGGCCTCATGCATGAAAGAACTGGCAGAGGAACCCAGGCATGCAGGTCCCAGGGCTGAATTCTCCAAGCCTACTCGGATTGGGACTGAGCCTTCTCCAACCAGACCCCCATCTTCTAGTAGGTAGGCGTCACACCCACCAGCTGCCGCCAGCTCCAGGTTGGTCCCATCAACGGCCAAGATGCAGAGACTATAAAACCCAGCTCCCGGAAGACATCTTATTATCTTATTTTTCTTTTGGAGAACCTGGCAGGCTACAAAAAATATGCTGCCTGCATGGCAGAGTCTGGCAAACTTCCCGTGTCATACTCAATATGCCAAATACCAGTAACAATAATGGGTCTCATTCTCCTAACCCTGAAAGAGCATTGAAATGGCTCTTTTAAAATCTCAGGGATTGGATTCCACGGGATGTCAAAAGACCGTGTGGCCGCCCACCTACCAGATGGTCAGACTTCTTCGTCAAGATCATGAACGATCGGTTTGAGGCCCTCCATGTTCCCGGAGCGAAGAGATGCCATTGGGCTACACTAGCACGCGACAGGGACAAATGGAGATGTTACTGGCGCCCGCTCGAGCAAATCGACGACTAACGGGAAGTTAAGTGATTAAGTGAAAATCTCAGGGCTAGGAAGAAGGAGACATTACTGGTGCCTGCTCGAGGAAATCGACGAACAACAGGATGATCGTGATCGTGATCGTGATCTATCAGTTTAAGGAACACCAGACAGAATACAGATTTCAGACAAACAACTGAACGAACAAAGGAAAAGCAATCTAAAGTTATCTCTCTATGGATTTCTTATAACAAAGAAATAAAATTTTCATTGAAAATATGGCAATATTAAAAATCAAATACCAAAGTTCACTTACTTTTACTAATATCAGCCTTCCCAGGTGTTCACACCTCCGGTTATCACTTTCTGCATAGTCTACTTCAAAGAGTGAATCGTAGTTTTCTAATATTTTAGCCATGATCTTATTGCAGAGATCTTGTTGTTTCATACCTTCAAGTCCAGGTGGCACACTGAAAGAACGGGGGGAGATTGAGAATTATCACTTTCTTTAAAAAAAAATGCTGGTACAGCTGCTTAGGCGTCAATTTTGACATTTCCTGAATGACTGATTAGTCTTATAAGGGTTAAAGGGTTCCCAACAGGCTTTCTGGTGGCACAGTGATCCTGCAAGGACAACTGGACAAGTTCCCAAAGCCTGAACCAAGAACTTGTGCTGCAAAAGGAAACTGCATGTTGTTCAGGAGAAGACACGTGTTCACATTGAAACTTGTCATGCTTTGATATGCTAGAAATTTTATACCAAGGGTACTATCTATAGAGAACTTAAGTTAAAAAGGGCCATAATTATGACCCAAAAGAACAAGCATTGAATCAAGGCAGAAATACTCAATCATACAAATAACAGCAACTCCCCTCCCCCATTTTTATCTGGAGTCTGTGATTCACAAGAGCGTTAATGAGAGTTTCAGGCGTCCATGTTCCAACAACACACCCACCACCAATGTCCCTCCGCGAATGTCTCAAGATCTCTTCCCACCACCCTCCCACCCCTTGGCAAATTCACTTTGTCGACTGACTCTCCGTAACCACCTGCCATTTGTTATTTATTTCCTTGCTGTGTTTCTTTTCATCCACACGGGAGATAGGCTTATCCGCCCCTCGCCTGGCCCTGACTACTTCACTCAGTATGAGAACTTCTGCTGCATCTAGGAGCAACACAATATTTTATATCAAAGATTTCTCAGGGAAACACAAACCAAGATACCAAAAATCAAGTATAAAAACAAAAGAAAAAAATGGGGCTGGAGCGATAGCACAGCAGGCAGGGCATTTGCCTTGCATGCGGCTGAGCTGGGTTCAGTTCCCAGCATCCCATATGGTCCCCTGAGCACCACCCGGAGTATTTCCTGAGTGCATGAGCCAGGAGTAATGCCTGTGCATCACCGGGTGTGACCCAAAAAGCAAAATAAATAAATAAATAAATAAATGTTTAAAAAAGGAAAAGATGAGTGTTCTTGGTAAAAAAATATTGCGAACTGTTGAAGTTGAGGGACGGGTATGGAGAACATGCTTGTAGAAGTCCAGGAAAAAAAGTTTAAAAAATATGAATGCATAGCTTTGTGAGCGTTTTATAAATTTTTGGTTGTTAGTTTTTTATCTGATATATTATGTGAGAAAATCTTCTCCCTGTTAGGTGTCTTTTTATTTTTAGTCTCAGTTTCTGTTGCCAGGCAAATCCTTTTCAATTTCATAAGAGTCCCACCTGTTTATTTTTTTTATCTTTGCCAGTGGAATCAGGTCACTGATGATCCTTTTGATGTCAGATTCTGGAAAGTTCTACCTATTTTCTACCTATTTTCTTGAATGCATTCTATGGTTTCTGGTCTTTAATCTACTCTAAATTAATTTTTGTGTATGGTGTGAGACACGGAATGTCTCATTTTTTTAATAAATGGTGATCCAGTTTTGTCAACACCATTTATTGAAGTACCCAACTCCTCTGTCATAGATTAAAAGGTAAAGGTAAAGGCCCTCCCGTTGATCGTCGATTTGCTCAAGCGGGCCCAGTAACGTCTCCATTGGAGACTTTGTTGTTACTGTGTTTGGCATATCGAATACATCACGGGGAGCTTGCCAGGCTCTGCCATGTGGGCGAGATACTCTCGGTAGCTTGCCGGGCTCTCCGAGAGGGGCGGAGGAATCGAACTCGGGTTGGCCATGTTGGCTGCGTGCAAGGCAAGAGCCCTACCGCTGTGCTATCGCTCCAGCCCTGTCATAGATTAACTGTTAATATATTTAAGGACTTATTATCACTGAGAAAACAGATGAATAGACACACAAAAAATAACAGTGGAATGACCAATAGTTACATATATGAAAAGTGTTCTGTGACAGTATCAGGGAAACACAAACCAAAATATCAATGAAACATCACCTAACAACATAAATAAACACACACAGAAACAAACTGAAAACAACAAATGCTGGTGGATAGGTAGTGAAAAAGGAATCCTCATTCACTGCTGGTGAGAATATCACCTGGTCCAGCCTCTGTGTCGATAAATCAACATGTGGATTTCTTTTAAAAAAAAATGGGGGGGGGCTGGAGTGATAGCACAGCAGGTAGGGCATTTGCCTTGCACGTGGCCAACCTGGGTTCAATTCCCAGCATCCCATATGGTCCCCTGAGCACTGCCAGGAGTGATTCCTGAGTGCAAAGCCAGGAATAACCCCTGAGCAAGCATCGCCAGGAGTGACCCAAAAAGCAAAAAAAAAAAATGGGGCTCCCATTTGACTCAGCTATTCCACTAGGCATCTACCACCCAACCACAAAAACATGAAATCAAAAAGATACATGAACACCTATGTTCACTGATGCTCTTAGCACAACAGTCAGGATATAAAAACAACCCAATGAATCCAACAACTGATGAATACATAAAGAAGTTGTGGTACATATACACATGGAATACTATGCAGCGATGATGGGAGGAAAATATCATGCAGTGTGCGGCAACTTGGATGGAACTGAGGGGAGTCCGCTGAGAAAAGTCAGTCAGAGGCAAAAGGACAAGCACAGGATGGCCTCACTCATCTGTGTCTATAGAGAAACAAATCATGGGGATGGACTATATCAACCTTAATAACTCTTGCATACTGGGAATGTCAGCTTAGAGTAGGAGGATGGTGGGAACAAATGGGTTGAGAGGTCCGGAGGGAGTTTGTCTTGCACACGCATGACCTGGATTCAATCCCCAGCATCCCATATGGTCCCTAGAGCCAGCCAGGAGTGATTCCTGGGAGCAAATGCCATGAATAAGGCCAAGATGAGCTATAGATTGTAAGAAGATAAAGATCTTCTTTAGTAGCACAAGAACAGATGTAGGATCAATATACATTGTACACAAATCCTAGTACTCAATCAAAAGTCTATCCTCTGTCCCTCTCGGAGAGCCCGGCAAGCTACAGAGAGGATCTCTCCCACAAGGCAAAGCCTGGCAAGCTTCCCTTGATGTATTTGATATGCCAAACACAGTAACAAGTCTCACAATGGAGACATTACTGGGCCCGCTCGAGCAAATCGATGAACAACGGGAGGACAGTGACAGTGACAGTTTAAATCTCTGTCTCTGTACTCAGGGATTAATCCCGGCCGTGCTCAGGGGACCATCTATGGTTGGTGGGAATTGAACCTGGGTCAGCTACCTGCTACCAAGGTCAGCACCATCCTCACTGTACTATCTCTCTGGCCCCATCCAGAAGCTCCCATCCTCATTCCATCTGCAAAATCCCCCTTCGCTGAAAAGAAGGCAATATTTAGTGGCTCCAAGATTATCTCTAGCTGTCTTGGGGGTGGGGAACACGTTCAGCCTGCTTCTCCATCTGTGGACTCCAAGGCAGACAGGTTCTTCCCTGTGTAGGCACAATCTGTGACTCATGACCATGCAAACAACACGGCACAGATAATGGTGTTAAGGGAATTCTGGAAGCTAGTGGCGTGGAGCTTGATGTCACCAACGTCATATCGTTGCCCGTAGCCCAACCCTAGCGAAAGTCATGACTTCGCTCAGGAAATAGTTAATCTTTCACTGAGCCCATGCCCTGCCAGGGACATGATCATTGCAGTCCTCTGGCGCTGGGGGGGTGGGGAGTGGGGACTGAGGTATCTTTCTTTTTTCCCAAAGACTCTAGGCCTGGATCTAGTTGCTGATAACACCCAAAATCTGGTCTTGGAAAACACCTGGAATGGAATCATTGACTGAAACAATACGAGAGGGGCTGGAGCGATAGTTCAGTAGGTAGGGCGTTTGCCTTGCATGCGACTGACCTGAGTTCGATTCCCAGCATCCCATATGGTCCCCCGAGCACTGCCAGGAGTAATTCCTGAGTGCAGAGCTAGGAATAACCCCTGAGCATTGTCGGGTGTGACCCCAAAAGCAATAAATAAATAAGATGATATGAGAGAAATTATACTGGAAAGAAAGAGCCCCCAGCCTACTCCAGCACCTTCACAATCCCAGCACTCCCCCCCAACACACACACACACACACACACATACACACACACGTGCTTCACAACTTGTCCTCCAGGAGATGCTTCTTTGAGTTAGACTCTGCGCTTCTCTCAGGTCACTGGATCCTGAGGGAAACTTTTCCTCAGCAGAAAGCTCTTCACTGTTTGGCATTTGGTGACTTTCATGCTAAGCTGGGTAGAGCCAAATTCGGTTGTGCTGGTCACAACAGGACGTCACACCCTTGAAGATGTCACCTAAGAGACTCTGTCTTAGCCACGTGAAGGGGGTGAGAGGGATTTTCCTTCTAGGCCTGAGGGCAGAAAGCCTCCCTCTTCAGAGAGCGTCTGACAGGGAACACATGTGGTGGCGCAGGGGGGTAACTCACAGCCCTGTGAAGCCCCTCTGAGGTGAGACAGCTGCAAAGCACAGAGGTCACACAACAGCCTGAAGGAGCCCGGACGCAGACTCCCCCACACTCCCGTCTCCACAGGAAAACGGAGACACGGTGACCTCAGCTTTCAAAGACGAAGGACAATGGGCCGAGTGAGTGAGCCCTGACCGACTGACCCAGGGACACTCTGAGTGCAAACGTTTATTGTTTTATGGCCTTAACTCTGTGATGTTACACAGGAGTCGAGAACGATCCCAGACTGGGGACAGCTGGAAGGAAACTGGGATCTGAAGGTGGTGCAGGAAGTGCAGGGTGGAAGGACAGGAGGGTGGGAAGACCGTGAGGGACTGGAGAGAGAAGCCGGAAGGGGCCCTCAAGGGCGTTTGTGGCCAGGTAGAGTCCAGGAAGCGCTGGCAAGGGTGTGTGTGTGGGGGGGGAGAGGCCCCTCGCTTCTGGGCGTGAAGGAGAGATCCTTGCTCTAGGGCCAGAAGCTTCGAGAAATTGTCTGGGGCGGGGTGGGGGCCACAAGCATGCACCCACAGTTTGAGATTCTAAGTCACGCTTGGAAACACTGTTTTGTTTCCTCTTTCCCTAGTGGACAATGC